TACGACAACATGATGATTCACTGAAAGATCTTAACAGTTTGTTGGACATTGATCCAAATGATGTATGGGCATTGAGAGAACGGGCGGCTGTCTATTTTGATCTAGGACGATATGATGATGCACTGAACGATTTTAACAAATCGTTAGAGATTGAACCAAATGATCCATGGGCGTTGAGTAGAAGGGGGACAGTCTATCTGATTCTAAAACAATACGACAATTCACTAACCGATTTCAACAAATCGTTAGAGATTGAACCAAATGATGCGTGGACGTTGAGCAGGAGGGGAGCAGTCTATCGATGTCTAGACCAATATGACAATTCACTGAACGATCTTAACAAATCGTTGGAAATCGAACCGAGTGATGCATGGGCGTTGAGAGAACGGGGCGCTGTCCATCGATGTCTAAGACAGTACGATGATTCACTGAACGATCTTAACCAATCGTTGGAGATTGAACCAAATGATGCATGGGTTTTGAGAGAACGGGGAGATGTTTATGCATGCCTAAGACAATATGACAATTCACTGAATGATTTCGACAAATTATTAGAGATCGAACCAAATAATGTATGGGGATTGGGCATGAGGGCCAACATCTATGCTGTTCTCGAACAATATGACAATGCGTTGAACGATATCAGGAAAGCATTGGAAATCGAGCAAGATCATGTACTAGCATTGTCTGTAAGAGGGGACGTCTACAACGATTTCAAAGAATACGATCGCGCGTTATGCGATGTCAACAAAGTATTAGAAATCGAACCGAATGATGCGTATGCATTGAGTATACGGGGACTCGTATACTGTAATCTTGCACAGTATGACAAGTCATTGGAAGATCTCAACAAGGCATTGGAGATTGCACCGAGTTATGATTATCCGCTAAAGAACAGAGGCGAGACATATTGCATGCTCAAACGGTATGATGACGCGTTGATTGATCTGGATAAATCAATAGAGCTTGATCCGGAATATGTCGATGCGTTCATCGTGAGGGGAGATGTCTATCTCGGTCTAAAACAATTTGACAACTCGTTAGATGATCTCAATAAAGCATTAGCGATAAAGCCACGTAACGCGCGTGCGTTGAGAACGCGGGGTAATGTATATTTCGTTCTCGGTGAATATGATAACGCACTGACCGATTTCAACGAGTCATTGGAGATTGAACCAAATGACTCGTTTGCGTTGAGTATGAGAGAAAAGGTTGATGAAATGTTCAAGCATCATAATAATAATAATGCGGATATGTGAAGTGGGTAAATCCGTTTCGGTGATTAACTTATTGTAGATTACGTAATTATTATTTATTCCAAGTCGATTGTGTTGTAATAAACTTGCGTTTATGAATTAGCAAAACGGTAATATGTTTTCGTTTAGACAGCATTAATTAATAAATATAACAATTACATTCAATTGAGTATACATATGATGACAGTTAGTTTAGAATGAAAACTTTCAGACGCAACTAATCTGTTAAACACTGGAAATACTTATATTGAAACTTTTTCTATTCGCAAACAGCTTTAATTTGGTGTTGCGCGCGCGTGCGTGTTAAAGTTTTTGTCTGTCACGCTCCCATAGCTTTAATTTATCGACTTCTCGATATTTCATAGACATTTCTCTACGCTACTTTTAAAGTTTTTTACTTGGAAATAAATACCGACTTTAAAACAGCATGACATTCTGTAGAGCATGGTACGACTCCTAAAGATTTAACTCAATTTTATACAAACATTCTGATATTTGATATACGTTAGTGATTACGTTCAAAGTAAGCATTTCTATACGTCTGAACGCGTTTATCACATTTCTTACAGAGAGTATCTGAAGATTTTAAAAATGCGCCTTGTTCATAGTAAGACATACTTTACATGCGTGCAATAGCCAGATTTCTATCTTCATGTTACAATGTCTCGTCTAAAAGCATTATAATTACCCACTCCTTATTTAGCTGACGCGATCAAACCGGGACATTGAGCACGGTTGCTTACAACATTAATAAAAAATAATACATGTCGAATGCCAATCTAGCTACGGTTAAATGCGTCATTAGGCAATATGTACATAACAATAATAACAGATCCAAGCAGTTGATACATAATTGCTATATATATTGACATTATGTAAAAATTTAATTTTTATAAAGCCGGGCCAGGTTGTAGTAAAAGTATGTTACGTTACAATCTAGTATTAGTCGAGGCAGACATTGAATAATACGGAATATATTAATGCGGCGAACAGCATGCTTTATGTGCTATTACAAATGACAAGTTGAGTCTATATATTGACATTCTGGAAATTGTACTGACAATGCGAATTTGCTAATAATTACTTCTATTGAATAGTTTAACTAGTTGGAAATGATACACAATTAAATATTCATAAACATATAAGTAAATAGTTTACATCATAATATACTATTTATATAAACAAAGCCAATCTCCAATATTAATGTCATTCACTGCTTTGTTTAGTGGCTGAATACTCCTTGAATAAACTTATTTCACAGCTTATTTGCAGTTTATATGAATTTTGTTCAAAGTTTACTCAGCCTTCTAATTAATACCTATTATTGTATGTCAAAATAGCTGATTCTGAAATAAATTGTATAGAATATGTAAGACACATAGAACATTTGATACTAATCATTCCTGAATAAAGTGTGTAGCAACATTTGAGCTGACAGTGGTCAATTTCAGCATCAACTGGAGATGTATGACACTTTGACACAAATTATCTCAGTGACCTTTGTGAACAACAAGAATAAATTCTTGAGTAACAATAATAATACTTAACCAATGTTGACGATTTTGATTTGATAATTTTGAAACTGTCCACTAAATATGATAAATTTACTAGTGAAGCCAAAAATACTGTATTTGGTTGTACTGGAAGAATGGTAGAGGCCAATGATATCACATAGTTGTATGAGAGTAGAATATTACCCATACGTACTATTCACTACTAGATTGCAGATAAATCCCGTTCTGGACGTTTTGCAAAACTATAGTGCGTCTTTGAATAACATTATCAATAATTTTATTAACAGTAATAAAAATTCAAAAAATTGTGCTTAACTCAATTGGAAACTAAAACGGAAAAGCTAAAGTAAAAGATCAAGAAATAAAAAATAAAAAAAAAATGAAAAAAGATATTAAAATTATTTTGCGCTATGAACTTCTGTCATGAAAGCATGTGTTAAATAGTAATAGGTCCTCTCATGCACGCTTACTTGGAGATAGAATAATACTAGCTAACATTGCTTAATAATATCTTTATATAATCTACATATTGACATACATTCCAACCTGACATACAGTATGTCAATTTAGAATCGACATATTAATATGTCTATTTAAATTAACATAAATCCTAACTGACATACGTTAATTTGGAATCGACAAATGTCCATTGAGAATTGACATAAATTCCAAATCAACATACAACGATATCAAAGTTAGTTGCTGGTTCAGTAATTTATCCCAGCGATAATAATTGTAAAGCTCTCACGGTCAGATATCTCGCAAGAGAAATTCCCAATTATTTAACGCGAGTGGTATTCAAGTAAATGTTATTCATAATCAGATGTTTGTGACGATAACCATGTATAAGTGTTACTTATTCGATTGTTGAGGATAAACCCTGACGAACAATAAACCATTCGTTTAAAAGTTAGAATGTTGGACACTTTTATACATACTAAAGATAATATTAGACTGTCTCTTTTTTACTTGACACCATTAGTCTTTATGTTGGTGCTGGTTATTAATGCTCACCCACATAGTAAAACTACTATGTTACGAGCCGACTAGAACATATCAGGTTAATATTATGGAAATGTGTTATTTTAAGGAAGTCCGTCTAGTTGATTTTGATCTAGTCAGTATATGATAACCTTTTGATATATTGTGCTGGGATTCACAAGGCGCAAGCATTTGCTCAACGGATACATCTTTTGTTTAGTTATGTTTAGTATCATTGCATAATTTATGAAATTAAATAATTTTTAGCAAAAGCCTATAGTCTATAAGTAAACTTGCGTCATTACAGTAGTTTCAACAGTATAAATATAACCCATAGGTACATACTGTAGACCACCAAATATCATACTTCTTTCTTCGTCTTTCTCTAATTAAATCCGCAGTTTTTGACGCGTTAAAAGTTACACGCGGATTATTTATTGAACTAACAACTATTTGTTAGATAATCTATATTTTTCAATTAATTAATCGCGAGGCGTTCATTTCACCGACAATTATTTCATCGACAGTACATTTAGTCGACAGTTCATTTGCCGACGGTACGTTTTGCCGACTGTAGACAATTATTTTCATCGACAGTCATTTCGCCGACAGTACATTTCATCGACAGTACATTAGTGTATTTATTATAATTTCGAACCCTTGTACCGTAACATGTCCCATGACTATTATTGATCTTTGCGAAATTTAGTATGCATGGTCAGTGAAAGTTTCGTTTCTGTATCTTTATTCGTTCTTGAACGAATTCATTTACAATATTAACGACTATGATCGACATTGCTAATACGTTGTTTTGCAGATTTTTAAATTGTCAAAAATTGTCTTTACGACTGGTTGTGCAATTTAGTATGCGTATAGATGTGATTGTAGTTATGGTTTCGTTCATAATGTACTGTCGGTGAAATGAACTGTCGGCGAAAAGACTGTCGACTAAATGTACTGTCGATGAAATAAATGAACCGGACCCGTTCTACCACGCGATTATCTTGCAAACATAATTTAAAACTCATGAGCATGCCACACTGCGAACAAATTTTAAAAGCGCCCGTAACCAATAACTTTGCACGTATAATGGTATTTTATCACGGTAAACAAACAATAATGCAAATTATAATTAAACGTAGTCAACTGCTTATTAATTAAGACACAAAATATTAATATACTCTAAATCAAGAACTAGCTATCTCTCTATTATTACTACTACCACAATAATTAGTTTGAATACATATTATTACGCAAATACAGTGGGACCAGCTATACAAGCTTTTTCTTGTTTATCACAATCGCTAAGAGTAACTTTATCGTCCACTGTAATAAGCCAACCACATGCATTGTGCTGCATACTACATTGAGATTTGTGCGCTTCAGCTTCTGTTTTGAATGGTCTTACAACACCATCAATACTGAAAGTTCCGTCAGCATTCTTCTTAATAAATGGCATTTGAAAATCACTACCACCGAGAGGGTTGTCAGCTGCTGGGTTTCCAGTCTTGCCTTTTGGATTCTTTTTTGGTTCCTTTGGCTTATCTTTTGGGTCTTTTGGTTTCTTTTTTGGATCTTTTGGCTTCTTTTTTGGATCTTTTGGCTTATCTTTTGGATCACTTGCGCCACCGTTGTTTGATGCAGCCTTGATTTGGGATAAAACGCCAAGTGGATCAAAGTCTGCATCCAGATTAAAAGCATCTTTAGGCGTATCCGGTTTTGTTGTCGCAGCGGGATCTTGGCGTTGTACAATTCCATTTAGTTCCTTGAAGAATGGTTTTCTGCCACACAAGAAGCTTGGTTTTCCATCCTGGTTGGTATTTCTCTCAGCAGTTCGATATTTTTTTGCGATATCAATTAAATTTTTTTGCCTTCGCTTTCCATCCGCAATCGTTTTATCAGCACCCATTTTTTTCGCAAAGAATACCAAGTGATCTGCCACTTGCTGTTGTCTGCAAGCAGGCTTAGCGGCAAGAAGAGCATTCACGGCTTCGCCGGACAACTGTCCAACTTGTCCGGCAAAATTAGTACCTTGAGCACTGTCGCGCATTTTTTGGTAGAGTGGTTCAACGAAGGCAGAGTGTTCTTGGCCAAACCGACGTTTTTCGAATGGAGTAGCATTTGAAAGAAGGGCTATGCTAAGAGCCACTGTAAAAATTGCAGAAATCTTCATGGTTAAAGTTTGGTTTTAGTGGTGATGTGATTAGGATATGATTAAGATATTAGGTTAATGTGATGGTTGTAATTGAAGAGCAGAAAAGCTAGTTCAATATGCTTTGTGGTTTAAAGAAAGACGGTAAACAGCTGAGCTGGACAGTTTGATTGTTTTATTTAGGAGGAGCAAGCCATCTCTCGGTGTATTTATATCTTTACATGATTCATTTGCGTCGTTAAAATTGATCTAGTTTTTATTGTTTCATTTTAAACGTAATTAATTCAGCTATTGATCATCAAACAGGATGTAGGTGTGACGATAGGTTCGATCCAGATGGCAGTCGAGCTTATCGCATATTGGTAATTAATGTAGCATTGTTGACCACGTTGACTGCGTCGATGATGTCACGTTTAACATTTATTATTGGTATTATTAAATTAATAGTTAAAAGTCACTTTAGGTATCGTTCCCCTACAAAATAATTTCTGTGTAACAATTAATTATCAAATAGTAACACATGGTAACACATTTACATTACATCGCCAATTACTGAATTATGGACCACACTTTTAACGTCGTCCGGCATAATTTCTATATAAAGAGTAATTTTCATCATACAAAACAACATTAATTCCGGTCATAATTGTGTTAATATTAAATAAATACTATATATGGGGATATTATGTACGACGTTAAAAGTGGGGAATCGGCCATTGTTATTAAAGTTATCGATTATATCATATTGTTCAACACACTTAATACAAATGATGAGTCGATCTTTACCATGGAGATTGCTCTTTATAGAGAAACTTATACTGTGTGCGACGTTAAAGATAATATTGCAGTACATTGATATTGCGCTACTTATACTAGTGTATCTATATTTGATCATTCGATTGTTTAGAAACGTGGCTATGCGCATGACAGTTTATGCTATCAATTGGGAATGATATTCGCTCATTG